CGTCAAGAATTTTCACTATTTGTTAGTCTAAAATTAGCGTTAACTAAGTTTATCAGTCAAATAGAACAACTCCAGAATCTGATACATACTCTGCATACATTTTCTTTTGTCTGAAAAAAAAAAGTATTGCAATCTACAGAGACCTACGACACCTGTATGATGTTAAATTTCCAATTGGACTGAGCAGTTGCCCCCATTGTTCCAGCTGCATTTCCATGGTATGAATTTCTAAGCGATATAATATCATTGCACCCAGTATAAAGCCTAGCAATCATCATAGCCAACTCATTTGCTTCTGTACCCGAATTCGTAAAGAAAACAACCTATAAAAGATACGACATAGGGCAGAGCTCAATTAGAGGAAAAATTATACACCAAACAACAAATATTGTCGTGATGATATTGACCTTGAGATCACCAGGCATCTTGGAAGCTAATGCCTCAGCAAAATCTGCGATGGTGTGATTTAGATATACAACTGTTGAATGTTGCAAGCGCTTTGTTTGATTGATGATGGCATCAATGACTTCAGGATGACAATGCCCACAACAAACTGTTGCAATCCCTGCAAAAGCATCAAGGTAGCGGCGTCCTTCTTCATCGAATAAGTATTGCATCTTCCCATCGGTAATATTCAACTGTAGCATGATAGAAACATAGATAAACCATCTAATAGTGTTGCCATCACTATGAAAGAATTTTCTTTGTTTCACGATTCATATATTCCTACTGTACAAAAGTCCACATATTTTCTTAGGATATAAATGGTCGCAAAATAAGCGGTAATTATGTTCGTTTATTATGCTTCCAACAGATGATTCAAATCCTCTCCAATCAGGTGGTAATTGGAGAGGGTCCAATTATTCCAATCTGCACTATTCATTCCATTTTCAGTGGATGCGATGATGCGACATAGGATTTCTAGTATTGCAACAAATGGCTTTCATAATGGTGGTTTTTAAGAGAAAAGTGGTTTTCACGACAATAGTGGAAACTTACACGGCATAACCCAAACCCTTAAGATTGCATTATAAGGTAATAACTGGGATAATTAGACCCTCTCCAATTACCATTGGAGAGAATCCGGATCCACACACAAACATGCAACCATATTTGTTAATTTAAGGCCCTATTTTTTAGTTCACTTTGTAAAACTAAGTTTCCTGTAACTTCAGAGTTTACGAAAATCTCTCATAATTAAAGCTATTGCAGGACTAAAACATTGTAGTGATCAAATCCAACGATGTTCCGACAACAGAAGTTGAAAATGTAATACTGTACATGTTTGAAAAAATTATGAGGTCAGAGGATACAAATGTTCACAAAATTGTAAGTAACCTCAAGTAACCAAAAAAAAAAAAACTGCTTTCCCTATAATTTTGGAGTTCGCAAAAAATCTCCTACGATTAAAGCCGTTGCAAAAGCAAAGTAGACTCGACAAAAAAGAGTTACTATTGTGTTAAAAATTAAACGATCGTTCCAAAGACATAAGTGGAAACTAATGTGATATTGTAGATGTTCACAGAACAAATGCGCCTGCAGTTGCATGAATCACGAGTGCAGTTTAACTAATATCCAGCGAGATTGTCGCAGAAAAAAGAAAATTTCAATATGGGACCAATACGGGCGACAAGTGAGGTGTCCCCCTCCTATTGGATAATGAGTTGGCCATCATTAATGATGATCAACTTATTATCCAATAGGAGGGGATAACTCACTTGCCCCACTATTGATCCCATATTTTGGGTCACTGCAGCAAAACTCCAGAAAAAATACTTACAGGCTTTTTGTAGAAATGGAAAAGCGAGGGGCTGAGGAACTCAGACCGCTTCTTCAAGATCTCGTCACCCGAAGGCCCACTGTAAGGAGGAGGGGTGTAATCAAACGGAGGCATTTTCGGTACGACCGCATTGTTATTCTCTAATTCTGCAGCAGCAGCACCACGGGAAAAGTTTCTTCTCAGCCCAACACCCGAAAAAGTTTTTCTTAGGACCCTTCTCATCATTTTGCTCTCACCCTATTCAGAAAATCTTCTCTTTCAAATCTCTCTGTCCTTTGCTTTCTCTCTAGTAGGCGGAGAGGAGAGGGTTTAAATAGAAGAGGGGGGAATGTTGACTTCGGTGTGATTTGGGATTAATGACAAAATTAGTGGTGACATAACCAAATAGGACATGAGAGGTCCTCACATTTTTTTACCCAAAATGGAGAAATAGAGGATCTTTTCGTAATTGGTATGCGTTAATTACGTACATGGAATAAATTGATGCGACCAATGTGAGGAAAATGGAGGTCCCCGTAAATGAGTTTCCCTTTGCCTACGATGGGGTTTTGGATGCTTGTCCTCCAAAATATAGTAATTGTTTTAATTTTAGTCTCAAATCATTTTAATCGCTAACTTAACGTTAATTTGTTTTCTTCCCTAATGTGGACCCAAACTAGTAAATGCCTGTCAGAGAATTTAATTAGAATATTCTGTTATTTTTTATTCTACTAATTTTATTACTTAATTAATTTTTACAAACTTAATTATTTGAACTTACCATCCTAAGCAATAAAATGTGACGTGGAGGACTTTATTGGTTATAAGTTTTGTTTTACCAAGCAGAAGGCAAACAAAGTTTCTCACAGCTTAGGTCAATGGGGTCTAGCCCTAGAACTCTGAAGTCTTTGTTTAATATGTGCCCTGATTTTATTGTTTAGGAGATTGGGTTATAAGATGTATCAGCCATGATTTCTTGAATGAAAGCCTATTTTTTTTCCCTCAAAAGTCAAAACTAATTTGAACTTATATTCTCCTCTCTCCCAAAGTTCACATTAATTATGCGGCAAAACAGATACCTATATATCCTTGAATAAGGGAAATTTTAACATAATTTCCCTAAATTTTAGCGGTTTTCGAAGAAACCTCCTTGACTTTTGGATGCCTCACACAATTATTTTAAACTTTAAACATTTCCTTAGGGGGGGTTAGTCACCTAGAACTTTTTAAGTAGAACTGGGATAATTGGTAAAGTGGGATAATTTTT